CATTCGAGCTACGTCTCGTGTTCTTACTTCCCAGAATACCTACTACAGTCGAACGATACCCACGTGGCCATCTCGTAGCGTGCGGTTCACAAGACTTCCAGAAGCACACGCCTCGGTGATTCTTCTGGTAGGGGCGTGCTTCTATTTCCTTATCCTTCCGGCTCTTCGCCCATAGGCGGGTGCAGTGCACGTCTATGTCGTCTGATGCGCTCGCCTCGGTTACACTACTGCCGCCTTAGACTGCCGATGTCCCCGGTGTACAAACATAGCGTGGGCGAAAGAAGCAACGACCGCGAGTAGGCGGACGGTATAAATCAGACAATGCTTGTGAAGAGCATCTTTCCAGCGCGGGCCGTCCATCATGAGGTCTTCTCTGTCATTGCTTATCTCCGCTGGTGTCGCCCTCGCGGGGAACATACAGCTCCCAGGTCTCACCGTCCCGGCTGAGTTTGCTGCGCACAAGCAAGACGTGGTCGATATCTTCACGGAAAGCTACAACGCTTACAGGTCTGTGCCACACTTTGAAGCTCCTACACCATCACTGACGGTATCATAGGAAGTTCGCATTTGGCCATGACCAGTTGAACCCGCTCAGTCGGACGCCGACCGATCCGCGCAACGGCTGGGGCGCATCAATCATTGACGGCATGAGCACTATGGTGTGTTATCAGGTCGCATGTGTGTATGCGATGCTGAATGACTGGGATAGGTTATAATGGGACTAGACGTACGCCCAATCTGCAGGCGTCGATCGCAAAGAGTACTCATGCAACACAGGACTTCTTCCAAGAAGCACTCAACCATACGGCGACGGTTAACTTCAACAACAGCAACACGCCCGACACTGTCAGCTTCTTCGAGACGACCATTCGCTACCTCGGTGGCATGCTGAGCGCGTTCGAGCTCGACCAACAGCTCAACGGGCAACAGCACCCTTTCCTGGTCGAACAGTCAAGACAACTGGGCAACCGCTTGACTCTCGCTTTCTCTTCGGTATGCGCCAGTCCCACTCGACAAGTCGTTCGGGGACTTACGCTTGATACAGGGTTCGAAGATACCGTTCACTGACCTTGAGTTCGACAATAACACGGCTGACTTCGACGAGACGGTTGGTATCGCGACAGCCGGCACGGTATGTCTTTCATCTCCGGATCCTCACAAGCTTCGGTCTGACCATATGACGACATGATCCATTTAGGATACACTAGAGTTCTTCACACTCGCACAACATACCGGCAACGACAGCTACAGGACCCTCGCGGAAGGTGGAGTCCTAGCAATCATCGACAGCGTGCGTATATACCACTGCCATACCACACTTTTCCCATCTGATACACGATGTTCGGTTTAGCCCAAACCTCTTCCCGGCCTACCTGCACAGATCTACAATGGGACGACAGCGCAACCCGTCGACGCGTTCGTGACCTGGGGTGGTGGGTCAGACAGTTACTTCGAGTACCTCATCAAGTACGCGCGTCTCTCCAACACAGACGACGAGGCCTTCGCCAACAGCTGGAGGACTGCGGTCGATACTTCTATCAAGGTGCTCTTGAGGGTGCGTAATCGCTTATCAGCAGTGCTCACTTCGAAGGCTGATCTCGGTGGTGATGATAGAACTCCACCGTTGGGAACCACGTCTATCTGGCGGACTTCGATGACGACCGCAAGATTCGCCACGAAGGCTCGCACCTTGCCTGCTTCTACGGCGGCAACTGGATCATGGGCGGCAAGCTTACGAACAACGACACTATCTTCAACATCGGCCTCCAACTCACAGACGCGTGCTGGAACACCTACGCTAGTACCGCGTGCGCCTCTATTCTACGGCACACTGTGGATTTAGTACCCGGCTGACAAGGACATTGCAGAACGGGAATTGGCCCTGAAAGCTTCGCTTTCATCTCCAATGAACCCAACGGTAGCTTTACGGGCGGTGACCCGCCTACGGCTGAACAGCTTGCGTTCTACAACAAGCACGGCTTCTACATCACGGGTGCTGACTATATTGAGCGCCCGGAGGTGCTTGAGAGTCAGTTCTACGCCTGGCGTGCCACAGGCGACACCAAGTAAGGGCACGAAACATATCTATCAGAGCGCGCGCTGATGTGAAGACTACAGGTACCTCGACCGTGCGGTAAGCGCCGTCGCGAGCTTCAACAAGTTCCTCCAAACGCGCACCGGATTCGCCGGGATCAACGACGTGAACAACGCGACTACCACGAAGATCGATGATATGGAGAGCTTCTGGTTTGCCGAAGTGCTCAAGTACTTGTGGGTCCAGCTCACTGGGTTCGCTTGAGAGAAGCAAACTCACGCAGGGCAGGTACTTGATGTTCGATGACCCTTCGCACATCAGTCTTGACGAATGTACGTTCTTCGCTCCTTTACCTATCTACCCGGAGAAAGTACTGACACAAAGTTATCAGGGGTCTTCAACACCGAAGCGCACCCATTCAAAGCTCCACCTGCGAAAGCGGTCTACGGGACTGGCTTCCAGCCCGAACCCTCGACGCCGTTCACGAAGCACGCGGGCCCTGTTGTAACGCCCGCTGTCAGCCCCATTGCGGCTCTCCCACAGGTCACCCATCCCTGAGCGCCCGCATTTCTGAATTCGGACTTTGTGTGAACACTTCTTATCAGTAGGGTAGATTGTGTAGGATGTGAATGTACATGGATGAGTCAGAAGTGAAACAGACGCGTTCGAAGTCCAACGTTCGTGACCGTGTCTCGATGACGTAGCGCGTCTTGCCGAACCGCCGGCTGGGCGCTTGAGGCGGCTTCCCGCTACCTTGGCTTCCCACCTCAACGAAGCAATACTCGCTTGTATCTACACCTATCATGAAGGTCATAGTCACGGGTGCATCTGGGGTACTCGGGACAGCCGTCTACGACGCGTTCAAGTCTGCAGGTCATGAGACGCTTGGGCTCGCGTTCAGTCGACCTGCGGGCGACTTGAAGAAGGTTGATCTATTGAATCAAGGCGAGACGGAGGAGGTATTCCTTTCGTACAAGCCAGACTGTACGCTCAATTCACTAGTACTATGTATGACATAAACTGAAACTGACTCCTCCCTCGTAGGGGTTATCCATTGTGCTGCCGAAAGGAAACCAGACGTCGCCGAGAAGGTGCGCGATCCCGTCTCGGTGATTGCGCATTGCTGAGCTATCGGCAGGATCCGGAGGGTACGAAGAAGGTTACTCTCTTCAATACATAGTCTACGAGCTTTTATACTGACTATATCATCGCTAGTTGAACATCGCTGTGCCCGAGCACCTTGCAAAGCTCTCGAAGAAGTTAGGCTTCACCCTCGTCTACATCTCTACTGGTAAGTGGTCAAGGCTTCTTGACTATGGCATCGATGCTTAACCCGGCTCAGACTATGTATTCGACGGAACCTCGCCACCTTATGTACCCTCTGCCCACACGAACCCCTTGAACCTCTACGGCCAGACGAAGCGCGATGGCGAGATAGCTGTTCTCGGAGTTGAAGGAGCGAAAGCAGTTGTACTTCGTGTTCCCGTTCTGTGTGTATCCCTTCTTCACGTCGGAATACACGAGGCTGACACTGCATCTGACTGCTGTAGCTACGGTCCGGCGCCTTCGAATGCCGACTCGGCCATCAACATCCTCCTTGATGTCGTCCAGGACCAATCCGGTAAGACCTACAAGATGGACCACTACCAGACACGGTACCCCACCAACGTCATCGACATCGCCAATTTCCTCGTACGCCTCGCGTCCAAGCCTTCTATCCAACCTCCACCAATCCTGCACTATACTGCGCCTGAGCCATTCACGAAGTACGAGATCTGCTTGGTGTTTGCCAGGATACTGGGGTTGTCGCATAAGCACATCATCCCGCAAGCCGATGAGCCAGCTCGTGAGTTATGTTTCGGCACGGCATGCTAGATGAGAGTTGACATGGGCCGATAGCGGGTTCGACGCCTCGGCCAAAGGACACGCAGCTGTACGTCCGCGAAACAGAGGATCTCGGAGTCGAGGGCGGTCTGGGGACGACTGGATTCGAGGAATGGTGGGAGCAGAGGCTGAAGAAGTGATATCGGCCAGTCAAATGGTTACAATGCTGCTGATGTATGCCAATCCTGTACCATACATGCCGCATGAGGTCCGCTGCGCAAAACAATTCGGCCAGTAAATCGGAACTTCGGTCCGTATTCCGGACCCACGCCTGTCACGCCGAAGATCTTCGCTCTTCGCTCGTCTCAAACGACCGCCAAGCAACAGCAACCCGTATCTGAGACAGCAACCCGACTACCTCTTGCGACAGTATAATGCCTCAGAACATCGTCACGCCACAGGGCTTTGAGTGTGGCTGTGAAGCGTCTCTTCGTAACTGCGTCGACTCGGGACTCCCCGGCCATCGAATGACCGGTGGACCGCGAACTCAGACCCATATCCCAACACCATGAGAGCACGTAGGCTCGTAACCATCCGGTCCCACATTAATTGCACTTCGTCATCCTGCTGACACAGGTTACCATTCTGTGGAGCCGGCTGGGACGCTCCGTCGTCGTTTTGTGCGGGCGTCGTTTTGCCAGCCAAAACCAAAATATTACTTAGCGTAGAGAGCCTGTGGGTCGATAGAAAATGTCATTTGGGTCAGTAAATAAAAGTTGCTCACCTTGAGAAATGGAGTCGAATGGTATAGGCAAGTTTTGGACCGATTTTTGAGCTCAGAGTAGTGTCTTAGCGAGAGGGGGTCGAGAGGGAGGGGAAGTTGGAAGAGCAGCCGCGGCGCGCGCCCGAAGGGCGCGCCGCGGTCATGGGGAGGCTGAGGTGTGCACCTATCAAGGCGGTTTGGTGCAGCGGGGCGGAGCGCTGCCTGGTTCGGCATTTTTGCGCCGGGAGGCGCGGGG